ATGTAGATCCCATACACATAGAGCACACATTTTCACAACATGAAGGGAATAAAACGACTTTTAACTTATTATTGATAAAACACTAAAGTGGACACATTTAATGGAGTTAAAAAACTTACAAGTTTACCCTTAAAAAGAGGGACAGTTATAATAAGTAGCAGCATTCGGTAAGCACAAATAAAACAGAGTTGGGCCCCGAGAGGTTGGTTGTCAGTCCTTCAGAAGGGTGTAAAATTATGGGCCCGTCGCCCTTTATAATGCACAAAGCCATCCCCTTTTGCTATGGGCTTAGTCATTCGAGATGGACCCACTTTGACTATCGGCCTAGGCTAGCCTGGCTTCGTCAAAGTGATACAGAAATGAAAGCATTCCCAATGCAATTTTCACTTTGAGAGAGAAGATGATTATTTAATGTAACAATATTTAATCTTGTTTGTAAAGTTAAATCAAATTATAATTCTTGTATAAAGAATACTAGAGGTTCCTCTAGAAAGACAAGTTGGGTCTACGAGTTATTAAAGCCTAATTCATTGGAACAAATCTCTCGAGGCATGCCTTTGACCATTGGCAAAGAGGGAGCTCTATAGGTTGGATTAAAAAGAGAGTTGATGACACAATCCATTTCTAATTGAATAAGAAATTAGAAAAAAGTTCTCAAAAATGTTTTTGAATTTCCAACCACGGGATGCTTGATTTCAACTTGTAGTAATCATTACACCAATGAGTTAATTCGAATTTTTGGTCTAAAGAAAAAAGAAAACCCATTTTTTTTACTGTTATTTCCCTTGAGAGTGGGGAAACTTCTTTTTCAAATTAACCTTTTTCTCTCCAACTTTATAAAAAAAAAAACTCAACCCTGCGTCTTCCCTCGGTTTTGGCAAAAATATTAACTCCGATTAACTTTAATTATACCAAAGATTAAAGCTTTATCAGTAGAACTAAAAATGGAACAGGTTCGAAGGGATTTTACCTTTTGGGGTTTTCCTAGGGACTCGGGTATATGCAACAAAAGAAGAAATTATTACAAATGAACAACAATGGAGCAAGGTAGCGAGGTATCCACCAAACAAAGAATGATAATGTTGGATTTCTTGTCCCCATGACAGACAAACTCAAGTGGTAATCCCGTAAGCATTTCTTTGGCAGCTGAAAAAACAAAAAAACATTACTGGGGCGTCGTCGTCATGGGATTCTGACTCAACTCGAGTCCAGCCATTTGAACTTTCGCATATCTTTTTTGGAATCCACCCAAGAAACAAAATGGTCACAGGATGCACTGCCATCTAACACTGCATTTGTTTTTACAGGCGAACTTTGGCATTATCCATCTAACAATTTATTATACGACAACCTTCCTGATGTAGTGTATTACATCCTTAAATTCAAGATTCGAAACATTAATCTACAAGATTTTCAAAATTATTGTGAAAACCCACAGAAATTAACAACACAGAGAGGATAGTAATTTAAAGTAGTGCATGCCTAACGCACTTTAACAATGTTACATATAATGATTATAAAGGTATATATTGGGATTAAACACTCCTCGTATTTATACACTCGTATATAAATAATAAACGAACTCGATCCCCTAGACATCGATGACAAAGCTAATGAAAAAGAGAAACTTGTTTTGCTGCAACGTGTTAATATTTTTTTTATGGAATTTGAATTTTGAATGATACGACCGACAGGCAATCCATGCATGCATACATATAGGTATTACTTTAGTTTTGAAGTCAAAAGAGGCAAGCCTTTTATTTAATTAATCCACCGAAATCCACCCTATCCCTTTCTGCAGGTTATAAAGACATTGCCTACTTATATATATCTGAATCAGTGGGAAGTTTTGACCTTCACTTCCATGCTTGCTTCAATCAAGTATCTCGAGTATTTTTACATCAATTTAGTCATTAAAGTTGTTCAGTTGCATCATTTTATATCGTACTCATAATTTAAAACACTAAATTATAAACTCCAAGTTAGAGTTTAGGATTTAAGGTTTTAGGTTAGGGATATGATATAGAATGATGCAATTGAGCAACTTCGATGACTAAATTCATGAGAAAATACGATATGAGCGAAAATAATAAATTATATCTATTATAGGGACAAAAATTATCATTTTGCCTTTTTTTTATTTTTAAAGTATTATATACCAACAGTCAATTAAACTCCCAATGATATTATCTTCCCGGATGTTTGTATTAAATTTTAGTTTCGAGATTTTATCGCTTAGGGTGTTTATTAGAGATGCTATTAACACCTTCTTTAGGACCGAGAAATAAAATCACAAGATTAAATTGGGATACACCTAGGCGTGTAAACGAACCAAACAAATATAAATTAGGGTATATTAATATTCATTTGTTTAAGTATAATAGAATAAACGAACAAAAACGAATAATTAAATAAATAAAAAATTTTGTTTGTGTTTGTTCGTTAAAAAATGTAGCTTATTCATGTTCATTCGTTCAAATGATAAACGAACACAAGCGAACTAACATCAAATTAATTGAGTTTAAATTTGAGAATAATTTTTTTCTTTCCAAATAATTTTAAGATTTATATTTTTTAATTGATTTGAGTATTTTTTTTAAATTGAGTTTAAAATTAGTTGGGTCTTAAACTATAATAGATCTAAAGTTAAAATTTATTAAGTCTTAATATTTCAAACAAATCTTAAAATTAGATTGAATATAAACGAACGAACATGAACAAATGTATTACCCAATGTTCACGAATATTAATGAACAAACAAACCCTTTGATAGTGTTCACTCATTTAATTAAGCGAACATAAAATCTTACTCGTATTAATTCATATAATAAATAAACACACATAAACAAATAATTCACTGAACAATTCAAGAACAATTCACTTTAACGTAACGTTAAGTTGGTTAACGATTGTAGATACAGACATTATGAACAAACAATGACAACTGTTGATAATTTGATTGAATGATGTGACATTTATCTTACGAAGGAGTGAGAAGACCTTTTAATTATTTGTACTATAATTTTATGATTAATCGTAATATTATGATAAAATGAAATTATTAAAAGAAAACTAAGCGAGAAAAGTTGATCTTTCACAAATAAGGTGAAGTAATCAAAATTTAATAATATATATATATATATATGATTTCCCTCCATGCTAGGGAATTTAGCCTATTAATGTCTTAATAAGCCGCCAAGAAAGCCATGTGAAGTAGAAAGCAAGAGTCACATGCAATTAATTATCCCGAAAAAAAGTCGCAAGCAGTTAGCAAATTAAATGAACTAAGCAATGTTGATTAATTAAGAAAAATAAATGATTAATCAGGTGTTTGAATCTCTCCAAGTCTAAGCAACTCTCACACGTATGAATCAATTAATGGTGTGGCTTGCAACAAGCATTACTAAATCCCATCATTAAGACATACCGGGAACATGGAATTTGTATACATCATATGTTGCATTAATTACATGTTCCAAAAGTCGAGAAACCAACAAAGATTCTAATAGTATTTTCTAAATGGCGGTGTGACAAAAGGGAACATGTTGTACTAGTGGAAAAGACAATGGCCAAAAGGCATGCCCATATCAATGGACGATGGAAAGTGGGAAAGCAGTGGGGATCAATCACTTATCTCCGACTATGAATCCACCATTATATCTTAAGTGGAACCCCTCAGTTTTAGCAATTAATAATACTCGAATGCATTTTTCATGAGACCTTATCCAACAAAACAAATGGGATAATTATGAAGTTCTAGACATAAAATGATCAAGCAACCCCATTTTTCTTAAATTGATCACGTGATTTTTTTTTTAAAATTGAATCGATTAAAATCAATTTTTAAACCGAATCAAAATCAAAATTTTAATTTTTCAATATTATGGGCACCACAACAGCTTCAACTTCGAGCTCAAATTTTATTGAGTGTGAGGAGAGAAAGAGAGGACGTGATAGACATAGAAAAAGTGTTTTTGATTTTTTACCAAATTTGGCCAAAGTCAATTTATCCATATTTAGAATAGTTTTGAATAGGTGTCAACCTTGGAATGGTAAGTTCTGACATTTTCTGGACAAATAATAATAATAAATGTCTTACTTGGTCATTTTTCTTACCAAATTATTCACATGGAACGGAACTTGGAAGGTACATTGTCATCCTGATTTTTTTTTGCGGGGGGGATAGTACACGTGTCGACAGTGGGAGAAGATTCTTCTGCGAGTGATGATAAATTATGAGTAATTATAATTTAATTCTTAATTATTTACAAATTTTATTTTGATCTTTATTTGTTTTTGTTTTAGTTAATTCTGATCACCGATTGTCCAAAAAAAATTAAATTACTTTTTTATGAAAATGCTAAATAAAACATTAATCTTTTAACTAAAATCTCATGTTATGCCTTTGATTTTTAAAGAATTTTACACCTAAAAATATTTCATATAGGGGATGGGGATGGGGATGGACATTCACTTGGCTGACTAGATCCCAGGAAATTGGTAATTTTGTATTGAAACAAAGAATTTCTCGATATAGGATTTTTTTTTTATAATTTTCAGGAGAATATATTTATTACATGTATACTAATACTATGTATGCATAATATTACATAATAATAGCACGTAAACGATATAAAACATTTGAAAGATACAAGAATGCATAAATTTTACATAAAAAGTTATAAACAAATGGTGATCACAAAAATATATTTAAATTTATCTAGAATTGAGATAAGATAAATACTATCGTGTAACCCTGTGAGAATGGTAGTGCAATTTGATTGGAGGGTGAGTTAAAAGGATAAAACAGAGGGTGAGTAAATCATTTCACTTTTGTTCGTGAAGGGGGGCAGCAATGGACTATTAGAGCATGGGATTTACGCATGCTAGTCTACAACCACCACCTTAGTGGCTTCTCCTGGCGTTATATATGCACACCAAATCACACCCCCAAATTGTCAATATCTTCCATTTCTCTTCCTTCATTGAACCAGAGGATTTTGTTTTCTCTTTTGATAGGGAAAATCAAAACAGAAAAGAGAAAGAAAGTAAATGGAGGGAGCTATGGAAATGAAAGAATCAAAGTTCAAGAGAATCTGCGTGTTCTGCGGGAGTAGCCCCGGAAAGAAGAGCAGTTATAAAGAAGCTGCTATTGAGCTCGGCAGGGAATTGGTACGTTACTCTCTGCCTTCCTTTAATTCTGTTTCAACTCTGCTTTGCTGTCTTGTTTCTCTGTGTTTTCTTTAATTCTGCCTTGATCCCTTTGCATGTCTTTTCCATTTATTACTTTCTGGGTTTAGTAATTTTCGTTTAGTTTGATGGGGTTTACTGTAATCACAAAGACATATGATTAGCATGAAACTCATCCCATCAAGTGAACTAAAATGTATTTTTGCTGAAAATACCAGATGTTGCAGGTTTTTAGTTAAATCCAAAGAAACATATTGAAATGTTAATTTTTCCCTTTTTTTCTCCAAATGAAGGTATCGAGAAACATTGATCTTGTTTATGGAGGTGGAAGTATCGGATTAATGGGTTTGATTTCTCAAGCAGTTTTCGATGGCGGCCGCCATGTCATTGGGTAGGCATTTCCTCCTTTCTGCTATTCAAAAAAAAAAAAATCGAAAACATATAACTCAAAAATGGAAAGTTTAGTTCTAATATTGTCTTGGGTTGTTCTTCATGTTTAATGTCTGCAGAGTGATTCCTAAAACACTTATGCCAAGAGAGGTACGTCTCTTCCATTTTGCATTGTATAATTTTGAAGTATTTTACTAAATTTATCTTCAGTAAACATTAATCTAAAGAAGAAGAAGATTATCTGCTAATCTCTTTATACATAAAAAAGTATTATTTCTTTTTTATAGTGGTAGCTCCCATTACATCTATTTCTACCCCACTTTTGTTATCTTGTAAACATGGGTTTTCAGACTTTGCCCCTTTTGACACACACATGCAGTTTCCAATTTAGACTTTTTGGTTGGTCCTGAAATTATCTGTTCCCCGTTTTTCACCTTTTTCTTATCAATGAATTCCATTCCACCTGAGTGTGTAAATGGGTCTTCACCATTTTGCTTGTCCCCTTTCCAATGGTGTTTATTTGGCCAACACCAAGATTCTCATTCTTAGTATAGAATCAGGTTTATATGGTGCATGTATTTTCTTCACATTTCTTCTTTTCTTTTCCCCTCCTTTTGCTGTGAAATTGGGTGTTGACTTGCCGAGTAAAAGTATGCTAATTTGGGATTTTGAGCCCACCACTCTCATCACTAACACTTTGGCGTTGGTGGCTATTAAACATTTGAAGATCACTGGAGAAACAGTGGGGGAAGTAAAGGCAGTAGCAGACATGCACCAAAGAAAAGCAGAGATGGCTAGACAATCTGATGCCTTCATCGCCTTACCCGGTACGCGTTTTAATTATTTTTCGTATAGCATATTCTGTCATGTGATGTCGAATTCGAAATAATCTAAGTTGCTTCAACCAGATATTATCGATTAAAAATGGTCCTTCCTCTATCCTTTGACAGATTAAATAATGATAGGCTTTTGCAGAATTGTGTACCATACCGTTAATCAATCTTTGTTTGATAGCTTTGCGTTGCCCTCGGAGGTCCTTTTCCTGGACCACTTATGGGCCACTCCCATGCTTGTGCCCCTCAATCAAAAAAGCCCTTTTTGCTAATGCAATTTACAACTTTAGCCCTTTTTGCTATGGATTAAATATTCTAGAGCCCATTAATTTTACGCCAATGAGTTGTATCCCGTGAAGGTGGCTATGGAACTCTCGAAGAACTTCTTGAAGTCATAACTTGGGCTCAACTTGGAATCCACGACAAACCGGTATTTTTCTTTTTGGAAAAAAAATCCCGTTTGATTGTTTAAAAATATATTAATTAAACTAAAATTATTTGTTGGAATTGAAGGTGGGATTGTTGAATGTGAATGGATACTACAACTCATTGTTGTCATTCATTGACAAAGCAGTGGAAGAAGGTTTCATCAGTCCTAATGCTCGCCATATCATAGTCTCCGCTCCCACTGCAAAACAACTGGTCCAAAATATGGAGGTTTCTCATTTTGCTTTTTCCCCTATACGTTAGACTAGCAAGTTTTCGTGCCGAGTGAAGCTCGGTAACTACTATACGATTTTCCATTCCTTTTGTGGACACTAACATGCTGTTTGTTTTAATATTCAGGAGTATGAACCCAGGCACGAGAGAGTAGCTTCAAAACTAAATTGGGAGACGGAACAGTTAAATTATCCAACAAAATGTGAAATTTCAAGATAAGGCGAGATGTTTGACAAATGACATATTTCGGGAGAAGTAATTTTAGGAAACCAAAATTTTTCCTGAAATATAGAGAGTGAGAGGTAGGGATTGTTAATGTATTTAATTATTTTCTGATAAAACTATATATACTCGATTAACATGTTTTGAAGTTGAATTTTGATTTATGTAATGCTAAATTTTCTTTTTGGCATAGTTGAAATGGAAAGAAATTTGTCCCATGGGTGTGTTGGAGTTATGTTGTATAAGTCGCTTCTTCCTGATTAAATGCATTCCGTTTTCTATAGGTCAATTTCTAAAAGAGAAAATCGCCTCAGTGACCAAAAATGCCTTATAATATACGATTGTAACCAACTTTTTTTTGATTTGCCAAAATGACCAACAAAATCGCAACGCGATATCAAAACCGCAACGCGATTTAGAAAAGCAACGCGATTAAGAAAATCGCAACGCGATTCCAAGAAGCGATTCCAAGAATCGCAACGCGATTCCGAAAATCGCGCGATCTTCCAAGAATCGCAACGCGATCTTCCAAGAATCGCAACGCGATTCAGAAAATGAGTAAATTCTTTCAAAAGTTGTTGCATTTGTTTCTTTCTTAAGAATTTTCTCTAAAAAGATAGTATCCGCGCGGACGTGTCGAAGACACGTATTACCACGACCACGACCACGACCACGACCACGACCACGACCACGACCACGACCACGACCACGACCACGACCACGACCACGACCACGACCACGACCACGACCACGACCACGACCACGACCACGACCCGACCCGACCCGACCCGACCCGACCCGAGACGAGACGGCGGCGGCGGCGGCGCGCGAGAGTCCCCCTTGTTCTCTTTCACTCAACAAGGAAATGGGAAATCCAAGCCTTAAATACACTTCCCAATAGTGTTTCCAATACTATGTGGGATTGAGCATTACTCAACACTTCAAAGAAAATATAGCAATTTTTGTAGCATGTTTCCCGCTTAATCCATATTTAAAAATATTAAAACATTTTATCATATTAAAACTATATGTATAAGTTTGAATTGAAATGTAGATATCTACAACTCTTTTAATTCTCTTGATAAAATGTTTTAATATTTTTAGATATGGATTAAGTGGGAAAATACTACAAAAATTGCTATATTTTCTTTGAAGTGTTGAGTAATGCTCAATCCCACATAGTATTGGAAACACTATTGGGAAGTGTATTTAAGGCTTGGATTTCCCATTTCCTTGTTGAGTGAAAGAGAACAAGGGGGACTCTCGCGCGCCGCCGCCGCCGCCGTCTCGTCTCGGGTCGGGTCGTGGTCGTGGTCGTGGTCGTGGTCGTGGTCGTGGTCGTGGTAATGGTAATGGTAATACGTGTCTTCGACACGTCCGCGCGGATACTATCTTTTTAGAGAAAATTCTTAAGAAAGAAACAAATGCAACAACTTTTTAAAGAATTTACTCATTTTCTGAATCGCGTTGCGATTTTCTGAATCGCGTTGCGATTCTTGGAAGATCGCGTTGCGATTTTATGAATCGCATTGCGATTCTTGGAAGATCGTGTTGCGATCTTCTTTTCAACGTTGCGCTTTTCTAAATCGCGTTGCGGTTTTGATATCGCGTTGCGATTTTGTTGGTCATTTTGACAAATCAAAAAAAAGTTGGTTAAAATCGTATATTATAAGGCATTTTTGGTCACTGAGGCGATTTTCTCTTTCTAAAATTGCTTCTTCCTTATTATCACTACTACTATTATTATATTTAAAAAAAACATGTGATTTAATCCAAACATGATTGATTATTGTTAATACAAAAATCAAACATGGATCACCAATCACCTCATCCTATTCATGATCACCATGCATATGTAACCCATAAATGATATGAAGCCTCTTCCTACGTGACCGGTCAGTGTTTAGGCACTATTCCACTAAAAATTTAGGTAAGCACATAGCGGCTTTGATGTTAAAATATATTAATATTTTTATTTATAATTATAGTACCCCTCATGGTTATTTATAAAAATAATATATTTCTATGTTATGTAGGATAAAATCATACATTTTAGAAAATATGTTTTTCGTGATGCATTTATATGACATAATTAATCATGAAGGGAGAGATATATTTTATTATTTTCAAGTTTTAAATGGTTGTCCCTTGTTCCCATATGTAATGGGGTAAGGGGGAGGTAAGATAATAGGCTGCCCCCAACACTAGGTTGAGAGCAGCTTCCGTAGGAGACCTCCAAATTATGAAATGCCCTCCATGGGACTCGATCCCACGACCTCAAGGTTAAGAACCTTGTGCTCTACCAACTAAGCTGGATGGTCATTTCATAATTTGGAGGTCTCCTATGGAAGCTGCTCTCAACCTAGTGTTGGGGGTAGTCTACTATCTTACCTCCCCTTACCCCATTATATATGGGAACAAGGGACAACCATTTTCAAGTTTTAATTTATATCATTAGCTTATAATTAAGTAGTATTATGGTTTTGAATGATTTTTTAGAATTTTTAGCATTTATGATATTGAAATATAAAATCAAACACATATATACATAATGTTTATGGCAAAGTCAAACATAAGATAATTATATATTCATTTAATTTTTTGTCTGTTAAAACAGTTAAAGTAAGTATTTGATAAAAATGTGAAACTAAAATAGTTAACAGTTAAAATCGAAGACAAAAAGAAAGAATATATATATATATATATATACTATTAATTTGAACAAAACATAATCTAATGGAAAAATTAGAAAATACACTAGAAAATGAAATCAACAAGTCGTTGAGGGATGTTATTATTCAGATAGTCTGGTACCATGATGAGTGTTTTAATTGGTTATTATTTTATTTTTAATTACTCTGTGTTCTCTTTGAATATTGCTAATTTGGGTTGTTTATGTTTAATTCTTTGCAGACACTATTTTCCATAAATCAAAAATTAAAGGGAGATTTTCCCCCTTAAATTGGACACATAAACATGACCTTTTTTTTTCTTCAATTCTGTGGATTTATACTTTGAAGTATATGGTTTTTAATCATATGTAAAACAGTGTTATAAGCATTGGATGACCTTTTCTGTTCTAAACTTGTGCAGCTATCAGCTTCAGAAGTATAGAAATGCAGGCTCATTTGTTCTTCCGGTTGACCCGACCGACAAAGAAGCATCGGGTGATAGTGAACACAGGCTTGCTTATGTCTCGGAAACCATAGAGATCTTCAAGGACATAGTTCAAGTTAGAGATGAACAATGCTGGAGGGCGCTAACTACTGGTTATGTGACTCAGTGGGCTGCAATGCACCCTCAAAAGATCGATGCTCTCTTTTATGCTCACAATGTTGACGAGGTCAAGACACTTGCACCGCTGCTCGAAAAATTCAGATCTTCTGTAGGAAAGAAGGCTTATATTGTAGTTTTTGGAGGCAATTTATGCCCTTGTGAAGATGTTGCAGTAGCTCTAAACTGGCCAAAATCGGTCTGCAAAGAGCGAAGATTTAAGATTTTTGATTTACAATTAGGAGCACTTTCGGGAACATCAAACTCCGAGGTCCCAGTTCTGCAAGCAGTATACTCTAGTTTGAAAGGATTGTTCAAAATTCATAACCCCAGTGTGATTATCACAGTGAGAGACATTGATCCCAATGTGCAAAAGGCTTTGAAGATGACATCTGAGATAAATTCAAATGGCATTGCAGTCGTACTTTTACCGAGGCCTTCTGTCTCAAAGGTTCTATGGATTGCTGATCTAAGATCAACAGCTTTGCAAAGTAAGAATGTCAAATATGTTCTTAGAAGATTCTTGATAATCAAAAACTATTTCTTTCTTTTTTATGAAGAACAATCACCTAAATGATCATTTTGTGTTGCAGATTGGAACCAGATGCGGATCTCGATCAATATAATTACTCAAAACCGAGCACCTTCCTTAACAAGGCTTCTTAAATCTATGAGTGATGCGTACTACATTGGAGATGAGATACCTATCATCTTCAATATGGACAGTAAAGTGGATGAGGCAACTATTAAACTTGTAGACTAATTTCAATAGCCTCATGGCCCTAAAACCCTCAGAAGGAGAATAATTCAAGGAGAGCTAATTCGAGCGGTTAGCGAGAGTTGGTATCCGACATCGGATGACGATTACGGTCTACTACTTGAGGACGATATCGAAGTCTCTTCTTACTACTATCTATGGATTAAATATGCTCTCTTGGCCTACCACTATGACCCTCAAGTATCCTTTCCTGAGCTCTCATCTATCTCTCTTTACACTCCTCGATTAGTCGAAGTTGTGAAAGAGAGGCCAAGATGGAACGCAACTGAATTCTTTAAGCAGATTCACCCTAATACACCTTACCTTCACCAGCTATCTTGTAGTTGGGGTGCAGTATTCTTCCCCAAACATTGGAGAGAATTCTATGTGTACAAGAACATGAGATTCACCGAAGACGCCAAAGCGAATCCGATTTAAATCCCAAAGTCGAGGACAAACGGATGGCAAGCTTCGTGGAAGAAGTTCCGCATTAACATGATGTACCTTAGAGGATACGTTCGCCTCTATCCCAACTTCCCCAACCAAGCGAGCTTTTCGACCAACCATATGGAACAAGGGGCTCATATCAGCGCAAAGGATAACGTTGTTCGACATGATAAAGCCGATTTCGAAGTCTCGTTGCTGGTGGAAGATTTCAAGACCCTGTTGCCTAATGGGAAGTTACCTCCGGCCTCCAAGCTGCCATCACTTAACCTTTTCAACCAACCTATGTCACTCAAAGGGCTCAAGGCAGCTGGTGCAAAGTTGGGTCAAGATGTATTGCGATGCAACAATGCTACAGAGATTGTGACAGTTGACCATATAACGAGTCTGCCACAACAATGCTCGAAATTCATATGATTGGACCCGTTTGTTATTTGTTATTCTTTATTCCTTTATCTAAAAAGAAAACTTACCAAAATTTAATATTTTTGTTGATATGAAAATCAATGGAAACCATTAAAGGGAGACAAAACAATGGGAAGCAAAGGTTTTACCATGGCTTCTTTCTATGAACCCAGAACTGGCTCTGCTGTAAATTGTAATTAATTGTCTTCAAAAAATTGAATCAAACCACCATTTTCTTTCTATAAAATGCATTACTAGAACAACCAACTATTGTTAACTAAAAAT